CCCCCCCCCCACACACACACACATATGCCACAATGCCTGTGCTTTTATTACGTCTAATTTTCCTAACAACGTTTTAGATACCGACCATAATCCAGAACTGATTTTATTTAATCGATTAGGGGGTTGCAATATACCAGTATTAATCCAGTATAACTGTGATATTTAAAAATGAAATATTGATATCATGTTAATGTAATACACATAAATATAATATTGTGTAATGCTACAGACTCTCTCCACACACACTTACAATTCTACTGAAATGTAGATTCCAGGTGAGACAAACATCAAACCACACTCTCCTTTTCAGCTCGTTGCAGTCAGAATAAATACAAATACAGTTGGAAGTCTTCTTTATAAAGAGAAGTCTATTTGTTTTTCTCAAGAAAAAAATGTAAATGCCCATCCAAAGGCCACTTCATTTATTATTTATTATATTCAACACAATTTTTCCACAGTGCTCCATCAGCAGAAAAATATTTAACTAGAAGAAAGAGACGTCCATCGACTTATCCCATAAGAACCCAAACAATTTATCAGGGACATAAAACAGACTAATTCTTTGAAATAGGACCAAAATAGGATTATAAATGTAGTTTGTTTGTGTGTTTTATTTACTGATATGTACATCATTAGGACCTCTCTCCCCTCCATCCACTACATTTACACCAAGACCCACGGGACTCACCTGACCACATACTTACACATCCTGTGCACATAATGCTGCTACTGCACTATTTATACATTGTTATATATTACTTTTCTGATACTCCAATTTGTATTTGTACAGTCTTGTCGTGCGTGTTGTACTACGTGTTTTGTTTCGTCTTGTTTTTTGTACCTTGCACCTTCTCTGTGTGGTCTGGATGTTTGCTTCACTCCCACTGAATGTTGCATCGATCAGACTTTTAGTTTTGCACTTTGAGGACCGCTCCTCTTTTTTTAAACTGCAATGGAAACATCAACAATTAGAGGAACATTATTGAGTTTATTACAGTTTAATTTAAAACGTGTTACATTGAAGAATTCTTCTTCTTGGCCATGTTCGTAATTGTGAATTGAACATCAAGAGTAAAGCCTTCAACATTGTGAGTTATACCTCTGCAGTTTGAGTCTTCCACCTACAAGAGTTATTCTGCAAATACGTAAACTGGTAAGCTAGTGTGTGTGCGTGTGTGTGTGTGGGTGTGTGTCACTCATCTTGTGGGGACATAAAACACAGTCACACTTTGAGAAGGATGTTCCTAGAACCAATTTAGTCTGAGAGCAAACAGCTGGTTCAAACACGCACACACACACACACACAAACAAAGACACACGCACACACACGCACACACACGCACACACACACACACACACACACACACACACACACACACACACA